AAAATGGGGTCACAGACAGAGTGGATCTTTCTTAACAGCGAGTTCTCTGTGCTTTTATCTGGGACATTGTGTAATACTTTGATATGGCTGCAGCGAGGGATGTCTCCTCATTTACAAACGTGTATAATGTAATGATGTGATGATGTGACATACTGGAGTTGTTGAAAATGCTTCTTTAACTGTGATTTGGGATGGACTTCTGGGAGAAGCGAGCGCTGCCTTCTGCAACCCTAAGCAATGTCTCTGGTCTGAGAAAGATTACAATTAATGTCAAAATCTGTTGTCATGTTTCATTGTTAATTAATACAGAATTATTATGAAGTGATATTTAAAGAGTTTCTCAGGAAAGAATCGGGGAGAGGAAAGCTTAAAGGTGCAAACACAGAGTTTCTGAACTTGATGAATTAGTTGCCTCCTTCTCTTCCTCCTCCTCCTCCTCCTTCTCACTTATCACACTGGTTATGTCACCTTTGTACACACCGAGTTCCTCATGGCCATGCGTCTGTGAGGCTGCACAGTTCAACTTGGAGTGTTCATGCCAATTTGTGAATTTGAGTGATTAGTAGTTGGAAGGCTCCACAATGTGATAAACATTTTTATCTTGAACAAAAACCTAACAAAAACCCATCAGGACAAGATTTGTTTTGTTAATGAAAAGGTAAAATAATACATTTATATGATTTTACACACTGTTGAATGGATTTTAATGGTGTCTGCTGATTTTATCAAAAGCTTTTCATCATCTCTTCTTCGTATCCTTTCACAAGTGTTACATAATCACCCCAACAGCAAACTGTCATTTTTCTTTTCTGTGATCCAAATCTTTTCATTTGCATCAGTAGATATTATTTTGATATACAGTGCCTTGGGAAAGCATCCCTATCCCTTTACTTTTCCGCATTTTGTGCCTAAATTTTAATGTATTTTATTTGGATTTCATGCGATACACAAAGTAGTGCATAAATGTTAAGCGGAATTAAAAATATACATGGTTCGAAAAAAAGTTTACAAATAAAAAACTTCAACATTTTAACCCCATTAACTCTGATATTTCATATTTAGTGCAACCATTTGTCTACAGAGGTCAACATATCATAGCACCCAGATTGTAGGGTTGTAACCATCATCTGGATTCTTTATTGGTATGAATCAACTGCTAGTCTACTAAGATAAGGTTGTCTAATAAATTGCCTGCCTGACTTGAAGGGCATTAACCAGAGAAGCAGTAAAAAGCTTGTGATAAAACTAGAGAAGTTGCAAATATTCTTTTAGCCATTTGGCAGGACAAGACAAACATGAACAAGACCTTTTTAAAAAGAAAAATATCAGCAAAAAAATTATAAGAAGCCTTACATGCTTTTTTACCCCAGTAACTACATGGGTAAAAAAGTGAATATGGTGAAGAATGTGTTATCATCAGATGAGAGCCAAATGATTTCTGTATTGAAATCAAAACGCATTATGTGGTGAAAATGTACGACTCCAGATTCAGATTGATCTGATTTAAAAATTTCTCCAGGCAAACATGGTAGTGGTAGCATCATGCTGTGGGAGTGTTTTTCTTCTGTAGAGACAGAGAAGCTGGTTAAAGTTGATAGGGAAATGGATGGAGCTAAACACCCTGGGTTCACACTGGCAATGGTGCAGCCGTGGTGCTGAGGTGCTGCAAAAAAGTCACCAACACTTGATGGTAATCAGGCTGGCAGAAAAACAGTTTACATGGGTTTATACTCTTTCTGCAAGTCCATGGGTAAATCTGGTAATCTGTGCACATAAATATCCTTATTTTTGTCTTCCAATAAACCCTCGGTTTCCTTGCTTATTTTGTTTTGGCCAATTGATTTTATTATGACATTCAACAGGGTTATTTCCTTTGTGGCACCAGAGTTTTCCAGTTGGCTTGTGAAATTCAGGACTTTCCTTTTCTTTCCTCTTTGTTGAGCCGCACAGCATTGGTATCTCTGCTTCACTGCAAGGTGTATTTGGGTGTACATATTGATCTTATTGATTTGGGGTCCTTGCTTTCCCCACACCTCAGCTGCACCATAGTCACAGGAAACCCAGTGTAAAAGAGCCATTGAAGGAAACCTATTTCTGCAAAGACCTTTAGCCTGAGTTTGTGGCTCATATTCTTGCATTGGAGCAACCAGTGAATGATTAAGAACAGTCTAGTCAAATCCCACACCTAAATTCAACTGATAATCTGCAGTAACACCTAAAGGTTTATGTTAACGAATTCTCAATCTAACTAAGTTTGAGCTATTTTGCAAAGAAGAGAGGACAAAGGCAAAGCTGGTAGAAACATACACTAGCAGACTCTGACTCAAAGGGGAATTTAAAACCAAATAGATGTTTTTCTTAAGCTTTGTAGTTTGATGGAAATGTATGGTGTTGGAAAAGAGCAAATAAACAAAAACCAGTACTGCATTTTTCTTTTTTATCATATTATGCACTGCTTTTTGTTGGTGATTGGCAAAACTATATAGGATATTTTGATGTAAAATGAGAAAAATCAAAAAATATCAAAGCAATATCATCATCCTTTTTCAAGATTTCAAGATTAATTGATTTTCTCTTAGCTTAAAGTGCTTGTGACATATTTTTCTCCAAAGTCCAATATATGTTGTTGAAACAATTGTCTCAACTGTAAAATTAGCAATTATTGATGAATATGGTTGAAATCATTCTAAAAAAAGCCCCAAGACTTTTTTTTGTGCTCTCTAATGACATGGAAAGGGAACCTCAGAATGTAACTGACTACTTCTGCAGTGACAACACAGAGGTGAAGAATTAGATGTTTCCAGCGATACATTTCAGTCACTATCATAAAGGGACAAAAGAGAGTAAGAACAGGAACATCAATCGTATCAGATTATTGCGCACAAGTTTAGAGCACAGCTCTGTATGTCTTGGAGCATCTAGCAGATCCGTCGGCGCCACGTGGCAGTAAAAAAACCTACATCACAACCACAACAAGCCCCTGATCCATTACCGCAATGCAATTTCACAGAAAAGTTCACATTTTTCAACTTTGGCTGTTAACATTCTGCTCTGTGGTGCCTTCCCACTCTCACCGCATGGAATTTACTACTCTTGGTCACGCAACTTTCATAGGGACAGTATGTGAATCTACCACTCTTGTCGCAGCCAGTTCAGTGTGAAAGAACCATAAGGTTACTTTTGAAACAAGGACCTTTTCTTACCTGCTGAGCCTCGATCTGTCCAGTGTCAACCTTTTCTTAGACGAGCTTTTCACATTAGATATATCAACATCCATAGAAGTAGCATCTCCCTTTCAGGTCCTCTTGGTCTGTAAAATATCAGACCCTCTGACATAACGTCTACAGCAAATTCAGATGTTACTTGTTCAGTTTGCAGAAAAATCCTCAGTTCACACCAAGCTGTGTTAACTTTACTGATCCATTCCTGCAGCAGTTATCCTCTCCACTCCAAAACAGTAGCTATCTGGTGTCACAGTATTTCTGCAACCTTGCAGCAATGCACTGTTTTCCAATATTAAAGCTGTTTTTGTGCAACCTGCTATCTAGATCAGTCATTTATAACTGATATTCATACAATGAAGGATCCCTTTCAGCGTCTTTTCCAACCAACTTTGGACTGCCAACTGCAAGAAAAAAAAATATCTGCCATTTTTGGTGAGATATGTCTTTTAATACATCTTTTACCATTTATAGGACACTAAATGAAATACTTTTAAATTCAATTTCAACTAAAGGAGGATATCAGATTACAGAACAAGTCCTTATTAATTTTGTGACATTTAAAGTAGTAAAGTATTTTCAATGCAAAAATCAAGGTCAGTGTAATTACCAAAAACACACACTTGTCCTGATTAGTGTTGCACTGATACCAGTATCGGGCAGGGTCCCGATACTGGACTAAATGTGGATGGTGGTACCGACAAATAGCGCACGAATACCATTTTGGTATGGTATCGGTATGGGCGGATACTGCAGAGCCAGGTATCGGGTATCAGTATTGGGGCCAAAAAATGGCATCGGCGCAACACTAGTCCTGATGTGGTAAATAATAAAATCCAAAAAGTGCTGTTATACAAAATGTGACTTACAGGAAGAAAGATATAAACAAATGTTCTTACAACATAGCCCTCAGAACATTAATACTGATACAGGGACTTACATTTTTCTTTTTAACTTAGCTTAGTAACTTTTTCAATAAGCTTTTAACCTTGTAACCTTTTTATTAGATTATTACTTCTTTAACATCACTTGTAAACTTTATTTTACCTAATTTACAGTAGGTAACATAACAAACAGTGTAGGAAAGAATACCGGTGGTATTCTATGAAGTGGTTACAATCGTCTTTTAGACAGAGGTGTACCTTGCAGACCCTGCAGACAACATGTGATGTCATGATTTTTCTTTTTTCTGCTGCAAAGTGGTATTTATACCCTAGTTATCAGCAAACAGCTCTCATTTGCAGATGGTGTCTCACAAGACACTTTCAGTATAAGTTTGAGTTGTTATAAAAATCATTATATCAAACAGCCAATTTGTAATCCTAATTTATACAATAAATAGCAATAATTGTAATAACACTAAATGTTTGATTCTTTTGAAGTATTTATGCTCATAATATCTAAAAGATGAGATGAGATTAAATGACAGAGCGGTTCAAAGTGCTATGAGTCAAGCTTCATGAACAGAAGTAAAATAGAAGTTGCAGTTAGTGGGTCTTATATGGCTCCCATCTTAACAAACATTCTGTTTGGACCATTTCTTCTCAACATAAAGACATGCAATTAGTTTCCAAGGTAACTGTGTTATCCAAAGGGGGGTAATGTGTGTTCATAATGCCCTCAGCTGTAAGGGAACACCATGTCAACAGAGATTTTATGTGACGCTGTTTTCCAGGCAACATTGCAGGATTTCCATATCCTTGTTTGTTTCTCCATCTCTACTGCTGTACAAATTTGTGCTGATCTTTTTTTCCTTTCTTTGGTGCATGTGTCCCACAGAGGAATGATGATGAGGCAGTGGTGGACCAAGGGGGAGCGCGGTCTCAGCTAAGAGCCGACTTTGAGCAGGAAGATTTTGAAGGTACCAACAAGCACAAAGCAGCAGGCTGCTGCTGCTAAATCCACCCACTCTGTCCTAACAACTGCTGCTTTCCCTCTTGACAGCTTTTTCTTTTTTTTTTTTGCTGTTAAGATAGGAGTAGAGTAGGAGGCAGAAACTGTGGGTGAGCTCAGTTTGCATCAGTAATTTTATCGTCACTCAAAGAAAAACAAAGAGGTCCTAAACAGTTACAAATGGTGGGGCTGAGTAAATTAGGATGACTAAAGGCACAGCTAAATGTTCTCTCTCTGCAGAATAGGATAACATTGCCTCTGAAGCTTCATCTCAGCCCTTTTCAGATTATTGTAAATAGTTAAACAACCTGCCCAACTTTTAACCATAAAACCTTTTGACCATTTTTACATGAAGCTGAAAAAAAACACCCTACTGCTTTTGCTCCTTCGCTCACAGCAACAATTTGGATAGCATATCTATTTTCATTTGAAATGTGCACGACTTATAAAGCATTATGTCATGTCCTACTTAGATCACCGAAGAGCACTACAACATTATTTATCTTCATCATAGTATTTTGTAGTAGGCAGGATATGTTGGACAGAAAGTCAATTTCCTTAAGGTTTTTATGTTAAAATTATATATATTTGTTTGGCGTGGGTTGGATGTGTATTTACGGCTGAATGACTGGTTCAGAGCAGTTCCAAAATATGTTGTGCTTGTACACTGTAAAGCCAACTGGTGAAACTCAAATATTTCAAATCAGATATGCTGAGTCAGTGTATCATGTTGTTGTTTTTTAGTACATTTAATACAAATCTTTTGTCTAATCAAAACTATTTGTGTCATAATTAAGTGTAAGTTAAATAACTTACACACCAAACTAACTATAAAAAATAAGCATTATTAATCTTATTGCATAGAAATTGATTAATGTTAAACAGTACAATCAGCTGAGACAAACATGCTTGAATTTAATTGAAGTTATTTTAATTTTGCAAAGTTCTTTAATGTTTCAACATTATACCTCAGTAAGAAACTCAATAGCAAGCTTTTACAAATGATACATTCAGAAGACTATTTTGAACTAAACACTTACCACAAACCACAAACTTAAAATCTGCAAATGATTAAATATATCAAAACAAAAACTTTAAATGTTCGTTGCTAAAAAAGAATTGAACCATTTCCATTAAACTGTAATCAAAATATAGACATAGATCTTAAGTATTGTAATTTCAGAAAACTTCATTTTAGGTTTATCATTTTTTTATCAGGATAGTGTGCCCTGCTGCTAAGTGGACATGGTTCAAAAACCGAAGAATAATTTTGAAATAAATCATTTGGCCCACTGACTTCTCAGATCTTAGTCAAACTAGAATTTTTGGAAGATGATGAACAAAAAGTGTGATCAAGAAAGGGTCCACCTTGCAACAAGCTACTGATAACATCTTAGTATTCGACAACAGCAACCTGTCTGAGGTCCCTTTAACCAACTACCCCTGGGTTATTGTTGTAGTACAGAGTGACTAAAAAATAATTAGGGTAATGGTCATAATGTTACGTACATCAATAACCTATCAATCATTGACATTTTATATCACAATCCACGACATAACAGAGATGTGTTTCTGTCCTTTTTTCCCCATGTGATAGAAGCCGCTAAGTCCAATCTACTCTAAAAAACCTTTAAACCATGCACAATTAACTTATGCATGTAAACCATTGCCGGTCACAGCAAGTAATTAGAAAGCAATGTTGACTGAAAGAAATTAAGTGTTTAAAGTGCAATAAAAAAAATCCATGGAATAAAAAGCTAAAGGTGACAGCCAACTGTTAAATGTTGGTATGAACTCATTGATAAGAGCAAGCAAGACTTGCTGTTATGATGTAACCTTGATGTTGACATGATTATAGTTCTGACATTTAAGCAAGTAGAAATCTTAATTTGTCACTATACTTTTTAACTTGGAGATCTGTGAAGGAACCTTTTCAATGATAACTAGCTGTACAGTCTCTGAAGCAGTATGCATGCTGTAACAGATAACTGGTCATTTAAACGTAACTTTTAACTGTATTATATTGAGTACTTTAGGTCAACGAGTCATTAAAAAATGTAGGAATTGATTAAAAATAATGTAATCTTTTTTTTTTTTTTTTTTTTTAAAGTAAGTTTTGATACAGGGATTTTAAGCTTTCATTATCTCTCAAATGATAAAAGGTTATTGATTATAATCAAGTTGTATGCAGATAAAAGTAGAACCAAGAGGTACAGGTGGTAATTGATCATATATACTTGTAACTTTGTTTTAATATCTTGTCAAAAACATTGATAGTTTATTTTTTACTCGTTTCTCTGTGTATGGATTTTTCTTTTTGCTTTTACTTCAAACTTAAATATGAAGATGAATCACCAAAATTTGTATTCAAATGATAATTTCTTCGAATTAAGTGGAAACCGTTAAGAACAGCCTCCACTGTTCAGACATGTGAAAAGCAAATATCAACTGTTTTCTGAAAGCACAAATTAACTGCATCCTATTATCTCCTTTTTTTGAACATAACATTTATTTTTCCAGGTTTTTAACAGGTGTAGCATGTTTCTGAAGCACCCAAAATATGTCATTCAAGAGCAGGTCATTTAGGGAGGTCAATTGATGAAAAGCAAAACGAGTCAGGTTTGAAAGCAAAATACTACATGAAGAGACTTTTGATCACAGTCTGGTCTTTGATTCAATAGCAAATTGGTTTATAGAGTTAATCAACAGAAATAACAAATTTGAGCACTGAAATAGAAAAATAACTGGAAAAACATGATAGATTCAACAAAAACAAGTTAAGGTAACTGGATAAAGAGGAGGTACACGAGACACGGGTAATACTGGCCAAATAACTACTACTCATTTATTGATTTAAATAAAGCCTAGATATAGGCACAGAGTTACGCCACACTGAAATTGCTCCCAGTGGAGTAGGTTACCTGGTAAAAAGCTCAGCATAGCTGCATAATATGGCCTGCTTCTACATCCAGTGGAACTGAGGGGATTCAGATGCCATTACAAAAATGAACACATGGCACATGATGATTGGTTAGTTTGGACTAAAACCTATTTGGAACTCAAAAAAAAAAAAAAAACTGAACTACTGAAAAAGAACAGAGGCTGCTTAAATAGGGGTGGAATAACCTAAACTTCCCAAATATAATAGAAAAGCAATAAATAAATAAAAAGTCCATACAAAACTAAAACATGAAAAAAATAACTCTTTAACTTAGCACAATTAATTTAATATCAAGGTGATAAAAAAAACTAAAGTAAACTTAAACAAATTCCCCCCCTCAGTTCTTGGGAAAGTGGTTTGTTCCTGGCTGCTTCCACCTTTAGCTGATCTGCATTTTCAGAACTATGAAACTACACAAACTTTGTGGTGGAGGTAGAAGGATCCACCACAGTGTATAGCTCCTAATGGCTGACAGGAACATCAGGAAGTCACTCTGCTAACTGAACTGGCAATGGGAAGCTACTGGTTCTGCCCCCATTTGCCAGCTCTAGTCAGAACTAGTCAGCTGTTGTACTAGTTATAATGGTGACCGATGAGATACTATTAATTTGGCTAAGTGATGCATTACTTTGCACCATTCAGAAGGAGCCAGAGAAAGAAAAATAAGAAAATAAATTAGATATTTGGAGGGTTTTTAGATATTATTCAACTCTAGAACCTGTATGCATAATTTAAAAAGCCACTTATTTATTTATAACTTTTTTTTAATAGCACAGAAACACAAAACTCCTTTGGATATTTCAAAAAGGTTTCAAAACAAACCCATCAGCAACAAATCAGGCAATAAGGAAATAAAAACATAGAACCCTGAAAAATGAATTGGCTGAAACATAGCAAAAATTAGCCTGGTGTAATTCCTTTTCCATCCTATGTAACAGAGGCTATTACAATTAATAACAGGCAGCAAAGCTGAAAAAACTGCACTCTCAAAGCGAGGTTATTTATTCCTGCCTTTAATCCTTGGGGATTTTTTTTCCAGGACACAGGACTCTCTACATTGGGGTTCACGTCCCTTTAGGTAGTATCAGGAACCGTAGTCATCACAGGCACCGTCACCATGGAAAGAAACACTGGAGGAGGAGCAGAGAGCGAACCTTTCCCTTGGTGGAGGGAAGAGAGTCACCACTTTATGGTATAGGCCATAGATATACTTGGTCTTTATTTAATTATATTTAATAAAATCATTATGTATCTGCTGGGATGTCTTGCAATTTATTGCAAATACTTGCAGACACTCCTTCCCAGAGGGTGCAGTTCCTGCTGGGAGCAGAAGACGATGATGAGGAACACATTCCCCATGACCTCTTCACAGAAATGGATGAAATCTGTATAAGGGATGGAGAGGACTCTGAGTGGAGGGAAAGTGCCAGGTGATGTGAATGATCATGTGACTGCTTCCATACACATCCATATAGAGACCCCAATGAAGGCATTCACACCCTTTGATTTTTTTCACATTTTGTTGCAGTAAGACTTTAAAAATAAAAAAAGAAGGTTATATTTGCGAAGTGGAAGAAATTATGTTTGACAATTGAACTCATTTGTTGACAATTGAACTCAAGCATTTGTTTTCTGGCCCTGTATTTCCAACACTTCTAAATAGAATAGAGTAAAATCATTACCTTTGCAGGAGTCAATTAGTTTTTGTAAATTAAGTTTTTATTTTTGTGGATAATTTGTTTTGTTTATTTTACTCTATTGTTTGATATTTGTTTTGAGATTATGTTTTTTGGTTATTTAGTTATGTTTCTGTGTTTCTGGTTAGTTATGAGCAATTTGGTTGAATTAAGTTTATAAATAGGCTGTCAATAGTAGGACCAGCATGTATATGGGTGGGTGTATGTGTCATGAAGGGTTTTAAGGTTCTAACCCACATGCAGAGACACACTCAGATAACCAAGGCTAAAAGTTAACTGGTTTATTTGTAGGTTAACAAAAACAGAGTGAGAGGTTATACAGCACGGTTAACTCAGTTGAGCCTCAGTGGACTGGTGAACCGGAAACTCTGAGGGGAAATCACAATGATCAGTTCAAGGCCCATAGGAAATTTGACTGAGATTTGTAATATGTGGAAATGGGACTCACGTTTGGGGGGTTCTTGGTTTTCCTTAGGATCCAGTTTATGGGGTTTTATCCAGTGATGAATGAACTCGTTGGAGGGCGGACAGGCAGACTAGCATTGGGTCCAGAGGAGCAATGGAGCGGACTGTCACCAGTTTTCCTGAAGCAGACTTGAACGGATCTGGTGGAGGTTTCCCCTTGCTCAATGTGAATCAAATAATTCCTTCCAGGGGGGGTAGAAGGTCCAGGCTTATCCAGTGGATCACGAAGGCATCCAACCGGAGAACAAAGACAAAGGCAAGCTTAGACTCAGAGAGACAAGGCAATAATTAGACTCAGCTAATTTCAGTTTGGCTAGAGTACCCAATACTGGCAAACACTCTGGCGTCGAGTTAGTGACAGCCCGCTGCTGAAATACTCCTCTGGTGATGACCCAATGAGCCGCAGGTGTGCGAGGAGCCCAAACGATGAGAGGGCACCATCTAGTGGTGGAAAGGGAGAACAAAAGAAAACACAAAAAAAAACCACACATACTGGAATCCTAACAGTTTATATATTTTTTTTTTTACCAGCAAAAGAGAGGCGTGGAGGAAATGTTTTGTTCTTTTGTATTTGCTTGCTTAAGGAAAAATAAACCCCAATACTAAAGGACTTTACCTAAAGAAATTATTTATTTTTGCCTGTGTACATTACTTGTCCAAGGTGCATCTGTGGCTCTTGTGGAATGTTTCGTGTTGTCAAAGCTGGGCCACCACAACCTTAATACATCATCAATTTGCTCTGAAGTGGAAAACAGTTATAGAAATACCAAAATCTCAAGCTGCTTTAAATTGGGTGAAATGAACTCGTACAAAGTGTTGAAATAGGGGAACAAACACATATCTACAATGAAAAACAAAATTAACAAAAAAAAAATCTCTTTTTCCTTCCAACAATGATGAATTTAACAATTAATGAAGACTTGATGTCTTTGAGTACAACTTATCCAAAGATAGATTGAAGTTTTTGGTTGTAACGTCTCAAAATATGAAAATCCTCAAAAGGTGTGAGCACTTTTTTTAGCTTGATATCAAGAAAACAGTGTCAAATGAGTCTTAGCAGAGCAGTGGAGGAAGAGATCTGTGAGGAATGTAGATTGCATATTCTAATGTTTGCATTTAAACAGCTTGTTCTTGTATTTCCACATAATTTTCTTATATTTAATCCGTGACCTTTATAAAATTACGGTGTAAAGTGTACTGTTGGTAAATAACACATATTTTATTTACATTGATACCCTGGTAAAAAGCAATAAGGCATGAGAGTAAATGAGTAAAGCTGAGAGGGAAAAGGAGAAATGAGAGCTACATGTGAGGGCCTCTAGAATAAACGAGTGCTGCTTTTGCAGCTAGAACAGATGGTCAGCCAGTTTGCCGTCTGCTGGCAGTACTTGATGGCAGCTCAAACTCCTCTTACAGGTGGCTGAAGTTTGAGGAGGATGTGGAGGATGGGGGGGAGCGATGGAGCAAACCCTACGTAGCTACGCTGTCTCTCCACAGTCTGTTTGAACTGCGCAGCTGCATCATTAATGGCACTGTACTGTTCGACATGAGGGCAAATTGCGTTGAAGAGATTGCAGGTAACTGCTGTAATGTGATTTTTATCATTTGGAACCTCTGTTACTGAAAGAAAGTATTATAGTGTATTATAATGATAGAGGATTTTTCCTTGAACTTTGAGGCTCTCATAGATGCAGTGGTTATATCTATTTTTTTAAAATTAAGTTAACCATAGTATGCTGGCTTATAGCCTGGAAAATGTGATACTTTAGTAGACCACCCCAGATCCTATTTTACAGATCTGTACTTCTTTTTATCGTATGGCAATTGTTGATCTGAGCATTATATTGTCCTTTTTATGTAATATTTATTTGCTCCTGAGCAATCATATTGTAGATTTCTGCAGCATCTTCTACCACATGCAGGGTCTGTGTCACCATGGTCACTTTTATTTTTATTCAGATCCACAAAAGGAAATCCCTATATCAGTGTTTTTTCTTGTGTTAACAGTTCTTTTTCTCTTTGTATTATGCTTAAATGTACATGGCAATATTTGTTTTACTTTTTGATTTTATGTTCTCCACCTCTCTTTCTTTATTGTTGTTGTAAATCACTGAGAAATGAATTGTGTGTGAATTATGCACCCCAAAAATGTTGGTTTTCCTCTTGACCAAATATCTCAGACGTGTCTCTAGCTCTCTTGCAGAACTAATATTCTTTTCCTCCCCAGAAATGGTCTTAGATCACCAAGAGTTATATTCACCACTAGGAGATGAAATTAGAAAAAAGGTGCACGAAACTCTCCTGAAGCAGCACCATCACCAGAACCAAAAGAAGCTGGCTAACCGCCTGCCGATTGTGCGCTCCATCGCTGACATTGGCCGACGAGCGTCAGAGCTCCATCTGGACAAGAATGGTGAGAGAAGTGGTTTTTACAGACCGTAACGAACGTAACTCATGGAATATCTTAAAGATAACAACCAGTGGTATTTTCAAATAAGAAATGTAATATGAAAAGATAAATTTACACTGTAGGATTCTACATGACAAAATAAGAAAAAAGCTAGTTCTGCTTCTGTGTGTAATTGGATCGATGACATTCAAAGCCTAAATCCAAGAATTTAAGTATTCAGCTGCTTTTTTATTTGAAATATATATCGATTATTATTTGGTCCGGATTTAATTCAGATCGCTCAAAATAATTCAGGGGCAAATAATTTAAGTTTAATTCAATTATGAAAGGGCTAGATGTTGTATTCAAGTTTTGAATTAGTAATCCTTCATTCTCCAGAAGCATGTGGTACAGGAGATAGATAGATAGATAGATAGATAGATAGATAGATAGATAGATAGATAGATAGATAGATAGATAGATAGATAGATAGATAGATAGATAGATAGATAGATAGATAGATAGATAGATAGATAGATAGATAGATAGATAGATAGATAGATAGATAGATAGATAGATAGATAGATAGATAGATAGATAGATAGATAGATAGATAGATAGATAGATAGATAGATAGATAGATAGATAGATAGATAGATAGATAGATAGATAGATAGATAGATAGATAGATAGATAGATAGATAGATAGATAGATAGATAGATAGATAGATAGATAGATAGATAGATAGATAGATAGATAGATTTCTCTTGGCAATTTAAATGAACATGAGTTTTACCAAGCTTCATTTGGGAAAAGTTAATATTTAATATTATTATTGCCTAGTTGTAAATACGTCAATGGTATTATTGATATGATACTTAGAGCTTAAAAATGAAGTGAATTGATAAAAAATGTTGTTTTGTGGTTTGGCCAGGTCAGTTAACGGCGTCTCAGTCCCAGTTAGCGGGTCCTGATGGCAAAGGTGACATCAGCAGAGACAGCAGTGCTGTGGACTTTAGCAAGGTATGTGTAGTGAGACTACATGTTTATTTATTTTTTTTAACCTGTGTTTAAAGTATTGAATATATTACACCCTGTTTATTTGTGCAAAAAACAGTATTTCAGATGTCTTGAACTTTGTCTTTGTTTTCTATGGGCATTTTAGTCTGACATCAATCTTCGCTCTTAACATCTTCTTTTGTCAGTCAACTTAGAAAGTGTTTCTTGGATTGTAGATACATACACTTCTCTGTTATTGGTAGCGAAAAAAAAAACAATTTGATTGTGAAGTTAAAATCTGAATAACGTCTGTTTTTAATTGAATGAATTTTAAGTTCAAATTCTGTGGCTGTGCCCACCTTTGTTCATGCAACAGCCAATTAATCTTTCTGATGGTGGCAGTCAGTGGTGAAAACTTTTTAATTTGACATGCAATACTCCATACTAAATGCTCTCCACTTTAACTGCCTTGCTATTTAGCATTCTGGTACTAATTTCAACAATTAAAAGTGCTTTCTTTTTCTTTTTCCTCAAAAATTATTATTTGAATGTCAAAGAAACACAATTTTCAGAAAAAGATTATTTTATCAGGTTTAAAATAGAAGGTAGGAAATGACAAATAATCACTCAGAAGGCCAATACACCAATGAAAAGAAATTTCCCTATTCCCCACAACCCAATGTTAGCAAGTAGAAACTTGTTTTGACCAACAAAACCAGCGCATTTTCGGACCATTCTCTCTTGAGTGTAATGACCAAATTAAATAAATATATATATATATATATATATATATATATATATATATATATATATATATATATATATATATATATATATATATATATATATATATATATATATATATATATATATATATATATATATATATATATATATATATATATATATAAAAAGGGGGAAATCATCTCAGCTTTTCCTATTAAACAATACCCACCCAAATCCAGACTGATGGCACATCTGTTCTAGTACATGCTGCAAGAAAAAGTTCATCCCGGGCATTGTGTTAGAAACCCTAAGACAGGCTGTGAAATCAAAATGTCAATTTTCTTACGACTGTGAGAGTGAGAAAAGAAATTATCGCTCCTTATGGAGTATGTAAAAAGTTTAAATCTTACTGGTCATTAGTAGATATATTTAAGACAGAGAGGTGTGAGCATTATTAGGCAGCTTGTCCGTGCAATAAAGTGAGCCCTGCTGGCCTGTAGTGGTAAAATGGCTGAGTCAAAAAACAGAGCTCTCGATTTACTGGTCTGTCTATGTTTCTCACTTATGGTCATGAAACATGGACCTTGAAGGAAGCTCCTGGATAAAAGTAGCTGAAATTAGCTTCCTTAGTAGGATAGCTGGATTCATCCTTCAAGGTTTTAGGGTCAGTGTCCTGCACCTTTTAGATGTGACTGCTTCTCAACACACCTGAGTAAAATAATCAAGTCATTAGGGTCACTCTGGAAAACTTGACTGCAGCGGATCAGGTAATTCAACAATTTAATTCAGGTGCAGAAGCAGAGACCAATAAAAATGTGCAGGACACAGGACCTCAAGGGCCGGATTTCAGGAAGCCTGAAGTAGAGTAATTTCTTCTCTGCAATGAAATTAGTCAATTTAATTGGTTCAGGCGTCTCATTAGGATGCATCCTGGGTTCTTTTAGAGGGGAGTAGTGGAGACCACTGGAAGGAGACCTCAAACACAAGCCAGGAGTAGCTAGAAGGATTGTATAGTCTATCTGATCTAGAAATGCCCTGGGATACCCCAGACTGAGCAGGAGGATGTTGCTTGGGACGGGGAATCCCAATCCATGGACCCGATCTTGGATGGACAAACGGATGGATGGAATAAAACATCAGGAGCAGACCTATATAACACATCAGAACAGACTGTTATGCAACTGTCCATTTTGGAAAATGCATTAGGAGGTTATCTTTTAGAGGAAGACCATTGAGTGAGGGATTAGGATTATAACTATGTTAGGTAATAAAAAGTGTGTCAACACTGAGTACCAAAACACAAAGAAAGAAACAAAGACAAATATTCTGAAAATATAAATTCAACATTTTGTGCCAGTGAGTGTTTATTTCGTTCCATACTTGCAGAAACTTCCATAATAAGTGTTTTGGTTTTATGTTTAATGCCAACTGTAGTCCACAAACATTTGTGATAAACTGTGCTAATCTTTAGAAGAGATTATAGATTATTAATGGAATCTCTCTATAAAATAATAGGAAAACAAATCCCTTTTTGAAATTAAAGATAATAGAGATCAAAACAAAGTTACCATTGCGCTGTAAAAATGATCTGAGCAGGACGAACCTGAACCTGAACTTGAGCAGGTAAATAAGATTATTTGCCAGTGGAATTAGAATTCTTTGCCCTAACAAAACAAGATATATTGAAATAAGAAAATGAAATATTTTTTTCTTATCTTCAATGTAAATTGTCCTATTCATTTGGCAAAGTGTCACACTTAGCTCAAGAAAAAAATGCACTTTTAAGAAGATTAAGATTTTAAGAAAAATTTACTTAGATTACATTTTTTTTGCAGTGTGGAATTTATCTTTAGCCTTTTTTCTTTAGAGGCATCATCTCAATGAAGGAACATATAGTGCTATGTTCAGACCGCACACAGCAGGTGCAGCAGAAGCAGCTAGTTTACATCCAAATTAAATGGTTGATGCATATAAAGGCACAGCAAAAGTTCCATCAGTGCGTTTTGAGTAGCAGGAGCAGCGCATCTGGGCAGCTAAAGCAGCGCGTCATGAATTTCTCAGCATCTGATGCGTGCAATGAGCTTCAGAAGCAACTCCAGCTGGTGCTTTGGTTGGTGCTCAACGCACCAACCAATCATAGAGAAGCTCTGCCACATGACGTTGCTGTGTTTTCAGACAGGAGGGAAAAGACAGAGAAAAAACATAGAATATTTCCACACCTTCATAGTTTAATGGTACAGGATATTGCACCTTGTGCCTTTTATTTTCCAGATAGACCTTCATTTCATGAAGAAAATCCCACCGGGGGCAGAGGCCTGTAATGTGATGGTTGGAGAGCTGGAGTTTCTGAACAAGCCAGTGGTGGCATTTGTTCGCCTTTCTCCTGCAGTCCTGCTAAATGGCTTGACTGAAGTCCCGATTGCCACAAGGTTTCTGCACACTGATTTACCCTCTGTACCCTACCTGACATCCAGTGTTGCATAAGCAGCCAATGTTGATCACATATGATACGTATTTATATTTAACATGTTCATTGTATTTGTTCATTTATTTATCTATGCTTTTGCTTCTAGGTTTTTGTTTATTTTGCTCGGACCTTTGGGTAGGGGGGCTCAGTACCATGAGATTGGAAGATCCATAGCAACACTCATGACAGATGAGGTAAAAATTCCCTGAAGTCTACATGCATTACAATTCTAATCAAATATTTACAATAAAAAATATATTTTCTAATTTATTGTTAGTCAGATGTCATTCTCAGATTCTCAGACACTCTGAATAATTTGCAGCTCAGCCGAACTCAGAACAAACCCTAAAGTGGTGGAACATTACTAAGTGTGAAGCACAGCTCAGAGCTTTCATAACTTGATGTTGGCAATTAGTCAGCCCTCAAGTTTATCCAGAAATTATGCTGCATCCTCCAAGACTGTCAAAAAAAAAATATCCAGACTGAAGTGGATTTTTAATTGAAAAAAATATATACAGAAACTTGTGATAAAGGGTAGTTTCACATTGTACAGGTCCAGTGATTCTATTCATTTGTTGTGTCCATGTTGAATTAATGTTGCTGCTGTGGAAAATTACTTTCAAATAAGAAAGTAAAAAAAGTGTTACTACCGTAGTCACCTTTAAAGGCCACCTGACAACAGTTTTAGTCCATCTGACAAATTTAATATCAGTAAGAATGTTTGTGTTCTGCACAACTTCCAAGATACCAAGACACAGCTGTGTAGCTGAAGAGATTCACAGCTAGAGTTTGGGCGTCTCCTGAAGGGATAACCATCAGTTGTGCACTCCATAAATCTGTACTCCACACATAGTGGCAACATCATTTTAAGGGGATACATTTCTTGGGCAGAAACATGAGAGTTATTAGGAGTTGATGAGATACTTAATCTAGCAAAATACAAGACAATCTTTGAATTGTTAGAATCTGTAGAAAACTCAAGCCTGGGGTAGAGGGTTCACCCCACAGCATGACTAAAATCCTAAAAACAGCTAGAACAAGAAAGAAACATTTTATAGTGGTCTGCAAAATTTTTCAGAGCCATATTCACATTGTTAATCTTTTGTTGCCTCAGCACCTGGAATTTATTTATTTAAGTATTGTTTGATAATGGGCACTTTAATAAAAAAAACGTATGCTCTAATCTTATCTTAACATGTCACTAAGTTTGAAGGATTGCCATTTGTTTAATGAAGAAACAAACAAAAGGGCAAAAACTTGCCTTGAGATTTTTGCCCTTTCCTGAACACATTTAAATGCTCACAATAAACTACTCGAGTGTTGATTTAATAGTATGTTTAAAGTCATTTTCATGCAGAATGACAGGTTTAGTTTAAAGCTATCCCTAGATTTAACATCATCCATCTTTCCCTCGTCTTGAAGCTGTGATTGAAGAGTAGCTCGTAGCAGAAAAGCTGATGTTTTTTATCAAGCAAAGCTTGAAGGCCTATATAAAAAAGTTTATTGGTCATTAATTAGTTTACTGTATGTTGGATGTAATTTATGCACTGTATTTTACTTTATGCTGAAAATGAGTGAGCAGGGTTGGGGGATGACAATTCGCTACATTATTTACATTTGCAGGAAATTATATACTTTGCAAATGTAATAGGTATAACATCTGTGGGAAATCGCTTTTCTCATTTGTAGTATGCAGCAATTATTACCGGTACATTCGTGTAAAAAGTATTAGAGTATTACAAAAGCTGTATATTTTTACTACGTATGTGCTTTGTTACATTTGTGGGAATTATTAAGTTTGTGGGCCTGAAACATGCCTTCATATTTTTTCTCATATTTATTTTCTTAAATGTTAGCTTGTATACCACTTTTTTTCGTGTAGATTCATCACATAAGAATAAAAACACATAAACTACAAGCTGGAGTGTAACAAACTACATTAATACATGAATGCTTTCCCAAGGCAATGTGAACCAAAGCATCTAAATCAGTATGATTCCTAAAAGCAGAGCTTTAAATTCTTTCTCTATGTCTAGGTTTTCCATGATGTTGCATACAAAGCTAAAGACCGGAATGACCTAATTGCTGGGATTGATGAGTTCCTTGATCAAGTGACTGTCCTTCCTCCAGGAGAATGGGATCCCTCAATACGCATAGAGCCACCAAAAAATGTACCTTCTCAGGTCAGTATAAATGCTGTTTGATATGGTCGGTTGACAAAGTGTAACAGGATAAAATAATCAGTTAATTGTCCAACAGGAAAAGAGAAAGAAAAGCAACCTTTTACCAAACGGCTTAGTAGAGGGTGAAGAGGAGGATGAAGACAGTGGCCATGGTGGTCCTGAACTGCAGCGCACTGGAAGGTATTCAGAAATGAGGATGCTAACATATAATACAACAGCACAAAGATCACAAAATTAACTTTAAGCAAAGTGTTGAAGGAAATGTTTTATTTCCCATTTATCATCTCTAGACAGTTTCTGCATACCTTTTTGGGAAAGAAAATGTATTACAAGAGGCTGCAATACTACTATTGGCATTAAGTCAATAAATTCTATTAATATTCAGTTGGAAGTGTAACAATTTAACAGAGCCAGCCAAATGGCAGCCCACCTCCCTGAAGCTCCCAGCAAAATCCCATCCAACTTCCAGCCACTAGCCTACTCCTGGGCGCACAATTCACTCTTTCACTGAATTTCAGGGTCTGACCATGAGATAACGCTTCTCTTTAGCTCTTAATGTCCATAAATCATAACAGAAAGAGTATTTTAGTACCAAGATTGATGTTTAAAAAGAAATTGTAGGGAACCAGCCAAGGACCCATCAAGGAAAGTGGAGAAATTTTGAATATCAATTAGTGCATTATACACCACTTGGTGCCTATTGGGATTTAAATATTCTTTTAAATAGACATTTGTAATAATAAAATACAACTTCAGTAATCAATTTATATATAGTTTCATTCATTAGTTTATTGATTCCTTCATGAATCATTTTTAAGATGTAAGGAGAGATTTAGGAGGATGAAACATAGAGAAGATGTGGTCTCTGCATTTCAATCAAATGTCACTATAGGGACTCTCTATAGTGACATTTGATTGAAATATACTGCTATACTATAGTGACTATAGTAAACTGCTGTCTCTGATTTAGATTCATTTCATTTGCCCAATAATGAAAAAAATATCTTAATAGATTTGTGATTTTAGATTACATTCTACTGCTAACTAACTATTTCTGGAGAAATTTGAGTTTTAGTTTTGCCAGGAAGTGGTTTCCATAGAAACTTTTTTTCTTCAAAATCTCTATTCGCAGCTCTTCTTTTCATCACAGAACCTATCACACCAAGTCAAGATTTTTTCTCAGTCTCGTTCCCTCCTGGAACTTTAGGATTAAGAAAATGAAAGTATTTTATATATTTTTTTTATTTGTTTAGATGGTTTGGTGGCCTTATTCTGGACATCAAACGGAAGGCTCCCCACTACCTTTCAGACTACTATGATGCTTTTAGCTTGCAGTGTGTGGCCTCCTTCTTGTTCCTCTACTGTGCCTGCATGTCTCCTGTCATCACCTTTGGAGGACTGCTGGGCGAGGCAACAGAGGGAAGAATAGTATGTTTTTTATTTGTCTCTTTTTTATTTCATTTTTAAACAAATGCACAATTGACAACTCTCAAACCTGTGCTTGGCTTGTTCGTGGCTTGTTTCTCTCTCATCCCCAGAGTGCCATTGAGTCATTGTTTGGAGCTTCACTGACTGGAATAGTCTATTCGCTGTTTGCTGGACAGCCTCTCACCATTTTGGGAAGCACAGGCCCTGTGCTGGTGTTTGAAAAAATACTTTTTAAATTCTGCAAGTATGCTTTTTTAGATTTTAATAAATGTGTGTATTATTATTGAGATGATGATTCATTTTTAGCTTCTTTTGTTTAATGCCCAAATATAATCAACTTTTTTTATCTTTCACAATGGTTATAATTATTTCCAATGGCAAATTAAAGAGACAAGTATAAACAATTTATTAAATTAAAACCTCTTGGAAAGCAGGAAAGTTTACATGTTTGTCTTTAAATTTAATTAAAAAAGGTCAACCCTTAAAGTTGCAAATTTATTTCAAGAATGGCATTTGTCCTGCTAACACCATTTACTGTTTTTATGACCTTATCATAATTTAAAGTTGCTCTTTGGGATATACATGTGCATATTCATACATATTAGGAATGAAAAATATTGACAAAAATTCAGAATTGCATGTGTTTTCTTCCAATATTGCAATTGCAATTCTTTTTTCTTGCATTAAGCACATGCATGGAAATAAACTTAAATGTTTGCTTGTCCAGAGTCCATTGTTGCAGAACTTTATCGTAACCCATGCATGGATATGTGTATACTAGCAATAACTCTCTCTTCCCTTCAGTGTGGCAGCAAATCCAGCATATTACAACCACCTAAAGGGCTGTAGAGAAAAAGTTTGTGTCTTACTCCCTTTAAATGTAATATGACCAAAATTTAGTCTGTCTACCATTTGAAAATTACGTTTTGTCAAGAAAAATTGTGTTAAGTTCTGCAGTGCTAATTCAGATTAATTTAGCCTGCTTTAGTCCAACCCCAAAAATCATTTTATAATCACTTTTTAAAATATTGTGATTTCCAAAGTTCCAAGTTTTTGTTTTTTTTTGGCCGCTAACATAATATATGGCTTTTGTATATTGTCAGATTTTGCATGTTATATTCTTATATTCTGTAGTTTGCAATGAACTTCAAATGTCACTGTGATAATTTAAATAATCACATTACAGGCAATAATTAATACCATTATTCTCTGTGTTAATCTCCCCTCAGGGAGTATGGCTTGTCCTATCTGTCATTGAGAACCTGTATTGGCCTGTGGACTGCTTTTCTCTGTATTCTGCTGGTGGCCACAGATGCCAGTTCCCTTGTTTGTTACATCACCCGTTTCACAGAGGAAGCGTTCGCCTCCCTCATCTGCATCATCTTCATATATGAAGCATTAGAAAAACTTTTGCGCCTGGGTGAAAAATATCCCTTCAACAAGAACAACAATTTGGACAAACTCACCACATACTCGTTAGTATGCATCTTAAGCATGTAGACAGCATATTTCTTGAAGTTACTGCATAAGTGAATGATCCTGGATTACTAAGGGATCAACATTTTCATTTGCTGTTTCAGATGCGCTTGTGTTGAGCCTTCAGACCCCACTAATGGCACTGTGAAGTTTTGGGAGGTCAACAACATAACTGCCTCTGAAATTTATTGGGAAGCCCTGGAGGTTAAGGTATAACTAACTGCTGCTTGATTATAAAGCTTCCTTAAAAACTGAATTTAAAAAATGGGGTAACACTATTGAATTAATAAAAAAAAATTTAAAAAAAAACCCATCTTGCTCAACAAAAGAACAGGGAGGGAAAAAAGCTTTTTTTCTTATCTTAAAGTGGCATGCTGATCCAGATGGATGAGATGAGACGAGATTAAGGACATGTGGACTGGATCATATTGGATTATATTAGATTAAAGGAGACTAAAAATCATTTTAAAGCACATTTTTGGTCTGAGAAGGTTTTTTCTTTTTCATGGGCATAAAAATTCATGAACCCTGTAATTTGTTGCTAATATAATGCCTTAATGACTGCCCTGTTTTTTTTTCCATCAGGACTGTATTGAAAAGAGAGGGGAGTTTGTAGGAACTGCCTGCGGTCCAAATGGACCCTACGTTCCTGATGTTCTCTTCTGGTGTGTCGTTCTTTTCTTTTCTACCGTTATTATGTCTGCGTTCCTGAAGGAGTTCAAGTTCAGCAATTACTTCCCAACAAAGGTACTGTGAATCAATATGTGCATGTTCATTCTGCTAGTATTATGATTCAAGCTGGTAAAGGATGCATTGGTTGCAAAGTACAGCAGCACACTCTTGTGGTAGCTAACTTGTATTGCATAAATTTAAAAAGTTATCATTGATGTTTTCTTGAGAATTTTTTCAGTTCCTAACAATTTATTGTCCAATTTGAAGTCTAAATGCAAATAGCCATCAGCCTGAGATAGCCATATCATTAAGATAATCAATATTTTCTTTCAATATTCAGCCAGTGAACACATTTCTAAACTATTTACATTGTTTTACCACATGTTTTATGCCCCAAAGGTCAACGGGTTCCAGAGAAAATAAGAGGAATGTAAAATTATTTAGTACTTAACATGGTTTGACAGAATCAAAAACAAAAGAAAAGGGCCAACAAATTAGTTAAGTGCAAATTAAATTACAAAATATCCAAACAAGCTTAAAAAAATCTCTTCCTACTAGCTGTAAACCAATTGAATGCTTTTCAGGAGCCCTTTATATTGTGCAGGTGGGCCTCATCATCTCTGCTGGTCCAGTGAGGTCACTGCTCCTCTGCAGCCTTCAGGCAGCCAACAATGAAGGGGTTTCTGTCACAGTTGAACCTGCAAAACAAAAAACATGCCTGCCGAGCCTCAATAGGCCAGGTGTTGCAACAGCATGCATTAAGCCCAAATATACTGATAGCAAACACAGATAATTGTCTTTTTTGCAGATGTTTGCAAGGGAGTCACTTAAATAGAAAAAAATGCAGTCTTTAATGCTGCAATCAGAATCAAAACCAAAATTAAAACCTCTTAACTAAATTTAAATAATGCACATTTAACTAATTATATATTTTTACATAAAGTAGTGGAAAGAGAATCACATTCACTGACATACATGTTGATTTTAGTTCTAAAATGTTAAAATGTTTTGAGGATCTTTTAGTTTGATATAAAAGTCTTGATCTTTGGGACTGATGTTTTCAAGTGTAGAAAAAGAGCCCATGAGAAGAAAAGTAGCTGTTGGAAAAGAGAGAGAATGACTTGGCAAGAGGAACAGGTATATAGGAAAATAGAGTGGGACAAGAAACAGGACAAAGGAGAGGTACATCAATGTGTGGAATTGGAAGGTCCATGAACATCTTCCTGAGCTCTCTGGAAGAACATCTCAGCCAAGGACAAGAAAAGATGGATCCGGCGGTTCTAGTAATTCGATTTCTATATTTCTGCTGGCTCAAGGGGACACCAGATGTTTTCAATCATGGAAATATCTATAGTTTTTTCCTTACAGGCTTTCACCAAAACGTACTTCTGTTTTTTTAGCACTTCTGTTTTTGTTTTGTTTTTTTCATCTCTTTTTAGGTGCGGGCTATCATCAGTGATTTTGCTGTTTTCATCACTATTCTCACCATGGTCTTGGTTGATTATGCTCTTGGGATCCCCTCACCAAAGCTGAAGGTGCCCAACGTGTTTAAGGTAGGGAGGTAAAAACAAACTTGGCTCCAGTGTGTGGAGATTATGTATTTTGGTTAAAAAATACAGTCAGTTGCCAAAATGAGTTTTCAATTATTTTTAAAACTTTTAATGTTCTATACAGAACAGTTCTCATTTTAATTTAAATTTTAATTACTGATTTCAGTAAGGGGACAATGCATACGAATCAATATTATTTAACCAGGGCTATTTCTCATCTGCAGTCACTGGACGGATGTTAAAAGTCATCCTAAAGGAGATGAAGAATCAGATTAGAACCACAGACATGGAAATTCTTACAAAGGTTTATTAATAAACCAACATGATTTGTTTTCCTTCTCATTTAATGTAAAAAAATTCTACTTTGGCATCTACATTTTTACAAATAAAAATCTTAAAAGTGTGGCATGTGTCTTTATTCAGCCCCAGTAATAAAGTAGCATGAATAAATACATTTTACTCTAATTAAAGGTAACACACTTCAGAGAGTGATCTTTACAAAAGATATTTTCATTGGTTCCCAACTTTATTTAGCCATGGACTTTGGACTAGGTCTGAAACATTCTAATATGAATTCAATTCAGTTTATTTAAATAGCGCCAATTCACAACACATGTCATCTCAAGGCACTTTACAGAGACAATACAACCAGATCATAGAGTCAGATTGGTTCAAAGTTTTATATCTAAGGAAGTCTAGCTTAGTGCATTGACCTCTTGACTCAAAGGCAATTCCTCTCACCATGCATGCTTGTTGCGATACTGGAAAGCAGCAGAACCAGGCTCAGTGGGAATATTTTTGGTTGTATAATTAGGATGATTGTCTTGTTGGAAGGTGAATATTTATTGACATCTTAAGCCTGCTGCAGTTACAAACATAATTCCTTTTAGAATTGGCTTATCTTTTCTTCAATTAATATACTTTTTAACTCTCAAATACCTCTTCGCTCTCTTTAAACAAACCAAAAACTATTGTTACTATGATGCTTGCAGAAGATGTTGTCTAGGTGAAGTGCAAATAATTTTTTTCTACCTTAGGGCCTGTTTGCTGTACGGTGGTCCTTTGTCTTTATGGTGGTGTTTATCCACTAAGTTTCTCTTATAAATCTCAGAAAAATCCACAGAAAATATCTGTTTGTGCATAGAATTTATAATATGCAGTTTTAATATCCTTAGATATGAGGTGACTTGTGATGTCTGTTGGTTGCAAATGTTTGTCTTGCTTTTCAGATTTTTATGTAAACATGTTAAATACTGCCATAATAAAACAGACCATTGTTGTTGTAATGAAACAAAATGTATCAAAAAGCTAAATAATTCACTATTAATGATTTAACAGCCAACCAGAGATGATCGAGGTTGGTTGATAAACCCCTTGGGACCCAACCCCTGGTGGACAGCCGTCATATCTGTTATACCAGCTCTACTTTGTACAATCCTTATCTTCATGGACCAGCAAATTACAGCAGTCATCATAAACAGGAAGGAAAACAAACTCAAGGTTTAGTCATCCTGCATTCCTCTCACCATTATATTCATGACATGCATGGTGAAATCTGAAAACTGCCTAATTTTTTTTTTTTACTGATTTTCCCTTCCACAGAAAGGTTGTGGGTACCACCTAGACTTGTTGATGGTTGGGATGATGCTGGGTGTGTGCTCCATAATGGGATTGCCATGGTTTGTAGCAGCTACTGTCCTCTCCATCACACATGTTAACAGCTTAAAACTGGAATCTCAGTGTTCGGCCCCTGGGGAGCAGCCGAAATTCCTCGGCATCAGGGAGCAACGTGTAACAGGCCTCATGATCTTCATGCTCATGGGCTGCTCGGTCTTCATGACGTCAGTGCTAAAGGTGGGACAGCATCAGTTTTGTTACGATTGTTGTTGGACACATTCATTTTTAAAATCAAATTTCATTTAATTTTTGCTGGTTTTAGTTCATTCCTATGCCAGTGTTATATGGAGTTTTCCTTTACATGGGGGCATCTTCTCTCAGAGGCATCCAGGTAAAATTATTTTGGTTTCACACTGTTTAATTTAGGCTCATGAATTGCAAAATAATTCATGATGATTATACATTATATTCATATCTAAGGTCAGATAATTATGGCAATAAAAAAAAAAACTTTTCTAAAAAAAGATGTTTAATATAACACAGTGTATCTGTCAGGATCTGTGGAGTTTTGTAGGGGAACCAAAGGCAGAGATGTTTCTTGCAATTTTAGTGGGAAGGGAAATGGTGCAAAAACATTAATCCAGAAATAATGGACAGGGAACTCAAGAAACCAATACTAGGAGATGTTCAGGAGAAACAAACAAAAAGAAATGAAGAGAATCCAGCACTGAGGAGCTGCAGAGGAGGAGTATATGTAGGAGAGAGAACAAAGGGTGGAGTGATCAGCTAATTGGGAGCAGGTATGGACAGAAGCAGCTAAGTGGCAGCAATGATTAAACATGGCTTAACTAAAACTGAAAAAGGAAATGATAAAGGAAGCAAAATGGGAAATCAGACCAATGACTAGAAAAAAGAATGACCAATGAAAAAAAACTAGAAGAGAAAGGACTGGAGATAACTGAAGCCATGGAAAACATAACCTAATGATAAGAGAAATAATAACTAAAACTACACAAAGGAATAACTAATACACAAAATGCTTAAAAGAGATAACAAGGAAGAGTAAAACAAAGAATTCAAACATGATATAAGTCTTGACAACAACAAGATTATCAAATACAGTTCATGTGTAGGATGATTTTGGAGCTAGACTATCGACGTCGTAGATAGAAGTAACCCAGTGTGACTCAGTCTTAAATGTAATATCTAAACAAGGATCCCATTAAACTAAACATGCATAGTCATCTACAAAACACAAGATTTTGTGTTTTATCCTAAAGGATAGAAAAATATTGAATTAAATAGTACTGTAAAGACACAAAGTCAGGGGAATAAAAGGAGAGATAAAGAATTAAATCAAGAGGAGTGTTTCATCACATTTATTACAAAAATAAGAATTTGTTCCCATTGCTTAAATTTCTTATTTCTAATGCAAGGAAATATATTAAAGCAATTTTGAGTGATTGATTTCTTGTTTTTGACATTATGGAAAAAGTACACATATTTTTAAACCCATGAAATAATTGTCTTTTGTATCTAGGGTTCCTTCAATAAATGAGATTTAAAAAATGGATATTAAAAAAATTATACAAAAAACATTGATTCTAGTTCATTTATTTCAAGAACTGGCAGCTAACAAGTCTTTCAAATCGGTAATAAACTACACATCTTATATTGTGTTAGTTTGAATAGAACCGGACACAAATAGGAAAAAAAAACTGAATCAAAAAATGAGACAATATTAAATACATTTTAGGTACGATATTACCCATCAAAGCCTGTATGTACTTCTGGGAGATTTTCATAAAACTCATACTTCATACATATCTATGACCCAAATGTAACCTGAAATTTGGTGTTCAATTGATCTCCTGCAGTTTTTTGATCGTCTCACGTTGTTTGGGATGCCAGCCAAGCATCAGCCAGACTTCATCTACCTACGACATGTACCCCTAAGGAAGGTGCACCTTTTTACTATCATCCAGCTTAGCTGTTTGGTTCTTCTCTGGGTTATCAAGACCTCCAGGGCTGCCATTGTCTTTCCCATGATGGTGGGTATTAGATGTGATCTTGCTAACCTTCCACTCAAATTAATGTGATATGTGTGGGTTTAAAGCTTAGGCTACATTCAGTCCACATGCGATGGAAGCAGAAAAAGCAGCTGGTATACATGCAAACTGTAGTTGACGTGCATCAAAGTGCACCAAAAAGTCCTGCAGCGCATCTAGAGTAGCAGGAGCAGTGCCTCATCAGCTTCTGATTATCTAAAGCACTTGAAACCCTTTGCAAGCAGCAGCTGCTGGAGCTAGAAAATTTTAACTTTTGCTGCTCAATGCGCTACATCATCCAATCAGAGAAGTTGATCTAGGAGCTGGCAGGCAGATAGACACAGCACTGCTGATGGAGATTGCTATTATCACTCACCTGAAACTATTTATTAACGCCTGAATGAACATAAAATGTTGAGATCTGCCAGCAAAATATATTCGCTTTTATTATCCTTGTACCTGTAGTTTGGATTACGTACCTGAAAACCTGCTAGCATCTCCTTCAAGCCACCACGAACAGTAGTGGGAAACCCCCAAGAGGCGACTGGGCCAGAGGTAACTGTTGCTGGGGATTTTCAGTGACAGTGAACCACGGGTGTAGGGGGGTTTCGTGCTGGTCCGACAGCGAAATAATATTTGAAGGCAGGATCGTTTCTTCATGAACTGACTGCACAGATGATGTTTTGAGGCAAATATAGCAAAGCCGTTCTCTGTTATTTAACACTGGAGCATCAGAAACATCAGACGCATCTGGACACAATTTAAGCCGGGCGTACATTGTGCGATTTTCGGAGCAATTTTCCAGTCATGCGACAATCTTTCGATCTGGCCGACTTTCAGCCTGATCATGAGTCGTGTAGTGTACAGGGGCCACTCAAGACCACCTCCCAATCAGGAATCGTGAGGTCGGGAGAAAATCAAACATGTTTGATTTTCTCCCGAATGTCGTGGGCAAATCGCTCAGTGCGCGCATTCGCAAACAAGGATTCTTCTGTAAACACAGCAGCATGGCAGGGATGCAATGAGTGAAATGCAGTTCTGTCTGTAAAATTGACAGACCATAGTAGCCATGTTTGTTCAGCCATGTCTTTTTTCCAAATAAACCGTCGCTTTTTCTTTTTAGGGCTTTCAGCACAAAATTGCACAAATTGCCATGGCAGCCCGTTTCACTCTAGTGGGATTCATATTCCTCTTCTATTTGTTTGGCTTCTAGATAGACGAGTCAGAGCAGCTCCATCTCACTGAGGAGCTGAATCCGACATGGTATTTAGTCGTACAGTGTGAGCAGGCAGGTCGCATGAGAGCGTTGGGCCGCTCACATAAATCGTGAGCTGTCAGCAGTAGCAACGACTGAAAAAAATCGTCGGACCTTAATGTTTACAAGCATCAAAAATGAAACAACGCGTGCTTTTTTTCTGCTTCAATCATGTGCGGTGAGCGTAGCCTTAGAGCTGTAAAGGATTAAATAATTTTTTTAATTGCTATGCTTTGCTTTTTGATTAAACTCATTAGAAATGTTAACATTTCGTGCCATTACAATATCCTTCATTTAATTTAATCAACGTCAGTTGATTTTGTCCACAGTGTTTGCATTTCATTTTGAAAGTTAGTATTAAAGTTGGCATGCCTATTGTGAGCAAACTTTAGTATTTAACAAATTATACAAGGTTTGTCAAGGCATGAGGAAGTTTGGGTTCCAGGAATGCATTAACTCCCAAGCTAATGCTACAGGTTTAAAGAGTTGAAATATATTTCCTTTCAAAATTTGGATTGGTTGTAAAAACCTCCCTCTTACAGGTGTAGTCCTGACTTTCCTGGTCTGATTTTACCTATACAGCATAAGTTGTTTTTTCCTTTTAACTTTAAGTTCTGAGAATTTGTTGTGTGTAAAATGAGACATTTGGTATTCAGATTAAAGGTACCATGTGCAACAAAGTACAGGGATCTGTTTCATGAAGCAGGTTTACTGAAAACTCTTAGATTTTCTAAATCTGAAATCAGTTTTCCGTTTCACAAAGAGAGTTTCCTCAACGTCTGTTACTGTAGTAACAGTAGAGCTAACCTGGTTGGGAACAGGTTTTATTCAGGAAACTCTGGGTGTCTCCGCTCTCCTTAGAGCCAATCACGCTTTTTTATTTCCTGATTTATTTTCTGATTTTGTCCTTGCAGTTCTTTTGTTTAATATGTGTTACATATATACAGTATCTATATATATATATATATATATATATATATATATATATATATATATATATATATATATATATATATATATTTACAATACATGACCAAGTACTGAAATTATTTTAGATTATACTTAAACCTTAATTCACCAGGACAAAAAAATAAGGAATTACCTTAGGGTTGCTGGTTTTTTGACAAGACATGACACATATTTTGTGACTACATGTAGACTAATTATTGTCAGTGTTTTCTGTTGTTTTTATCAATTCCACTATACAGTGGTTCCTTTGGAGGTATTTTTTGAATACCTTGTCAAATCTTTAGGTCTTGGCTCTGGTGTTCATCAGGAAGTTATTGGACTGTATCTTTACCAAGCGAGAGTTGAGCTGGCTGGATGATCTCATGCCAGAAAGCAAGAAGAAAAAGCTCGAGGATGCTGAAGAGGTGAAATTTCTCTTTTTGGAAAACTCTCTTCTTACAAACTCTTTCACCATGTACCATTACTATAAAACATGTGTGCCAATGTCCGTTTTAAAATTCTTGGCAATTTATCTTTAGGAAGAAGAGCAAAGTATTCTTGCAGAAGATGAAGGAGCTGTTGAAGTGCCACTCGAGGGGTACAAGTGAGTTACACTATCATCGTAAAGAAAGTTAAAGATAATTAAATTATTTTTACGTTTTTTTAACCATTTCTCATTAATTTTATACAGAGGAATTCCCATCATCAACATCACAGATGAAATGTCAAAAGGCTCATTTGGAAATACTTGGAATGCCAATGAATGAGGAAAATACAACAGAAATAAAACCAGCTATTCTGGCTTTCAAAGTTATTTGGTAAGGTTGTTTATTCTTGTAAACACAGATTGGTAAAGAGTTTGTAACATAAGAAATGAAAACTATCTGTAGAGATTTTTTTTTCAAGTGTAAAGTAAATCTAAAAAAACAGAGGAAATATATATCTGAAAGGAGACATACCAAAGCTTTTTTCACACAGCCAGAGCTTCGATCACTGAAACTAAAGAATTGACCCCAAACCCTGGAGAATGGTCACACACATTTAAACACAATACGCCTCTGAATCTGCTGAGCTGATTTGTGTTTTAATGTTGGCTAGCACTTTGTGGCTAAATTGCTATTTTCATTTTTGCTTCAACTTTGTTATAACGCCACTAGCGACTCATTGTGGAATTTAGGAGGGAAGAATTTTATGAATGGAGTTATATCATGTTTGGGGTTTTATCAAAGTACCACACTAGAATAAATCAAGTATCTGCGAGCAGCTCTTTCTTTCACAAATGCTTGTAGAATCAATGGGCCTAAACGTTTGAATGTACAAATCTGTGGCCATGAACAGGGTAGGAACACTGTGTTTCAATGATACTGACTTAGATATTTATCTAGCATTTTCTGCTATCTATCTATCTATCTATCTATCTATCTATCTATCTATCTATCTATCTATCTATCTATCTATCTATCTATCTATCTATCTATCTATCTATCTATCTATCTATCTATCTATCAGATTTTTTCTGTTCGGTGATGGAATGTATTTCCATTTTCAGTCTTTAAGGATTAAACTTTCAAATTAAATTAATATATAAACAGTTTAGTTAAAAACCAATAAAACTGCAACTTTAAAAATACATATGGTTATTACATGTAATGTGCACAAATTTCTGTTTATGTGATAGATGTTTTGTAAGGGTATTTTCACCCATATTAATGCAACAGTACCTGCCACCACATATGGCTATTTCTGTATTTATGTTATAGTGACAGTTATTCAATCTTTAGTGTTATAATAATATTAAATTACCTGAAACAATAAGTCATTTTACTTTGTCAAATGTTTTACCAAGGATAAAACTGACTTGTGTAGTACACTGTTTTGAAAGTATTAATGGAAATATTTTATTATCTGTATGTTGTCATTGTACTGACCTCTGTAAATGAAAGAAGTTTCACTTTTTGAATGTTTAATGGATATTGTAAAATGATGAAATTCTCCTGTATATAGTTGAGAGAAATCCTAATAAAGAATATGTTAAGAAATGATGTGAAAATTTGAAAATGAAATTAATCTGCAGCTTTTAACTTAAATGTTTCTATTACCAGTGTTAGCCTCAAATCAATCATCAAATCACCTCGAGCAGATTAGTCCCAATGCGTTCATGCATGCATTTGTTGTAGATGACATGACAAGAACGCCCAGTGTCATTGGAGATGCTTCGCCATCACAGATTTGGCCATCAAGCAGAACAGGAGTGGGCAAAGGTTCTCTTTTGCAATCAACAGATGGGTTGATGTGCTGCAGATGACAGCTTGGAGAGGTGGAACCTCCCCTGAGCGTGTCACGCTGGTTACTGATGTGAATTACTGTTTCCTTTTCAGCGTTACAAGGAAATCAAAAGTGTTAACCTAGCCACCCATCTCTGCCAGTCTGATTGACATGACTTCCCTTTATTTAGCATAAATGTCCTTGGTGGGCATGATCATCATAGGGAGATCCTTTTTCCAGTAAGAAGCTGACAGGTGAAATATATCATCCCTGTACCTTGCAGAAATCTCTCTGAATTTTTCTCCCAGGGGATTAATATGTTTATTGATTTTTGTTCTGCCTCCTTAAACAAGAATGATCGAGGGAACACAACAGGAAACAAGTGTCGCTCACTGGAACTTCCAATCTCATAGCATTAACTAACATTCCAACATACGATTATTTTCGCTGAAGATAAAGAAAAAGGTTCTTGGAACAGCATTTAAATTGCATTTTATTGGATTATTTTTTAAAGGATCTTAAAAAGTGGAACCTGTGTAAAAAAAACATCTCGGATCCTCTAGAGAGACATAGACCCTGCTAGTATATTAAAGAGGAAACTTAAAACTTGTACACATTTCTTTACTGAAAAACACATGAAAAGATATTTTAATGCTAGATGTTTAGTTTGGACCTACAACATAATTTAAATCCTAAATATTTATGTAAATAATAAAGTAATCAAATATATATATTTGGCTGATGTTCCAGTCCATAACATTTCAAACCCCATTTGTTTTTTTTTCTATGCTTCTGAAAGGATCTCCTTCATCCACGGAAGGCCGATAAGGCTTCTTGTGAAGAGGAATTTAATTGCGTTACCAGGAGATGGTGTACAGGTTGTGACATGTGTACTTCAACAGATTCAGTGAAAAAACAGCTTCAGATTTTTACGTATTGTTTTTTAGAATAACAACAGCTTGAGACGTTTAGTCTCTTCTGCCTCTGCCAGTCTTCAGCCAGGAGACAAACTCTTTGGCTGCCTGATCCTGCAGGTAAGAGCTCACGTCGCTGGTGTAGGTGCCGTCAGCATGGCGCCTGAATAAGCTCCTGTTATAAAAACAAGTTTTGCAGGGTTCAGTCAGTATTCACATTTTATTTTATTACACCTGAAAACATTGCATAAATTATATGCTAGAGACTTTATTCTAACAGTTAAAAGCACTCACCCGTTCCTTTTTGAATTCTTCAGCCATTGGACAAAGTCTTGTGCTCTTCTTGTCTCCAGGTATTTGCTGTAGTCATTGGAAAAAGTTCCCTCTGAGTGCCTCTTCATGTTTGGAAATGGGATGGAATCAGTGAAAATTGAATTTTCACTCAACAAGCTAAACAACAAAAAATGGAGAAATCTGAGTTGAAACTTGCACTTTGATTTAAAATTTTGACTCACATTTGGATTTACAAAGATATTACTCAGCAAAGTTAGCTTCTTGTGCAACATCAGAGAGGCATCTCTAAAAAAATAATAAATAAATAATCAACTTGGAAATATTATTGATATACGTAGATAAATGCGAAAAAATTGATATTCATTCTGCACATTTCTAAACATTACAAGGAAATTTGTCCTCTGCGTTTAAACCATCCCTATAGGGAGCGATAGACTGCCACAGCATCCAGGGAGTCATTTGGGGTTTAGGGTCTTGACTAAGGACCCCCGTGTTTCTGTGGGATTCAAATCAGGGAACTTGCAGCACTTTCAGAACACAGGCACCCTGCTGGAAAAATTAGTCCACCACACAGAAACCAGTGGAAAACTAGATAAGTAATAACTGCATTTTCTTTTCTAAATTCGACTAATAGTTTGAAATTACATCTTTGGTGGTAAGATAGAATCTTTAGCTTCTTCAAAAGATTTAACTTCAGATTTAACTCTGACAGGGTCACTCCAAGTAATAATACATCCGTTCACAAGAAAGATGCAGGTGAACACATTTGTCCTGGGATATAAATATTTGTTTAACTGCACTTTATATCATAACTACATTATTATTATTATTATTATTATTATTATTATTATTATTATTATTATTATTATTATTATTATTATTATTATTATTATTATTATTATTATTATTATTATCTATACTAATTGGGTGTAAAAATGTAAAACTAAAATATGTAATTATTTTGTAATGCTTGTCTACATTTTTGCTGTTTGGTCCTTTTATTGGCTTATATAATAGCAATATCAATAATAAAAAGTGGGTGAATGAGAAAACTGGACAATATATATATATATATATATATATATATATATATATATATATATTCACTTCACTCTTCTTAAGCAACATAAAAAGAACTACTACATTATTAAGAATAAAAATAAAATTCCAAGATAAAGGAAAAAGAGAGATCATAGGAATAGGGTCTTACAGTGGTGTTCGGTCTGAGTCCTGGTCAGGCACCTGCCAGCTGCTTTGGATAATGATAAGGAGCAGAAGTCCAGCAAGAGACTGAGCACTTTTCATTGTTTGAGTTGCCTGAAAATAAGCACAAATTAATAAAAAATAGTACATTTACTTTACTTAGGTATTTAAGCTTTTAAAAAGATTTCTCACCTTAGCTCCTTTGTGCAGATTTCTTAACAGATAGCTCTTGCTTTGTGTTGAATGTTATAGTTCTTCTCTCGTGTTTCTGGAGCTTCTTCATGATCCCCTCCTCATCTGCTCTTTCTTATATAGCAGACCTAGGGAGTATTCTCTCAGGTGACTCCCTCCGTCACAAAAACGTTTGCACATCCTGGCTATTCTCAAGCCATTAGTCAGCTTCTGGCTCAGTGCCCTGAACATATTTAACTTTGGTTAAAAAATGACAGCATGACAGCTGGATGGTCAAAGAGAAAGAAATCTGCTATTTCAAGTGTCTAAAAACAAAATATCACATAGGCGACTTTAACATGTATATGTTAAAGTAGCTATATAAGTAAACTATATAGTCCTTATTAAAGAATAAAGGCTAAACCTGAGAAAAATTATTAATACAGTCATTGATAAAACTGATGTAATCTAACACATAAGACCATTGATCAATTTATTAACCTCAAGTTAAAAACAATGGAAAAAAAATCACTGCCTGATAAGCTTCCATAAAACACTGCTATTTTTTCTCTAGATATATAATTTTGAAGACCTTAAGCTAAACTCAGATATAATAAACAGATTTTTCTTATGTGTAACTTGAAATAGTTTTTATAGATGACAAATAACATGTTTAAAAGTGTTTTAAAGGTATTGTTTTGCCTTGGCGGTTCTAGACAGGGGCCAATGGCCCCATAGAACCATTCCTTTTTTTACTCCTACTAAAAACATAATGTAAAATTTATTACTGTATGATGATATGCAACGGCAAAGAAACCTTAACTGATTGGTTCCTTGCACCTATGCCTTTTTTAACCTTTTTATTTCGGTTTTAACAATGATTTTACTACATTTACTAATCTTTAATTAATCAAAACTGATCATTCACATTTAAATTGTCAAAAATGTGTGTTATTTCTGAATGTACAGTATATTGAAAAGATATTCCAAAGAATATCCTTATCTTATCTCTTTACTCTTTATTCCAAAGACTTTAAATAGTCTTGTAAAACTCAAAATATAATTTTATTTCGACTTCCTTTATTGGCCATAGAGAAAAGTCTTTTATCTCAAAAGTTTTGATTGGCTCCCATTTTTGTTCTTAGACTTTCAGCAATGCAATCGATACGTATTTTTTTACAAATTAAATTCTTTCATTTTTACATATTACTATCATATGAATGAGTACGACCCATTATTTTGTGTAACGGCAACTTTGATCATGGGGTTGCATTGCTGACCATAGCCACCATCAAATTGTCATCTAATGAATTCACATTTACCAGAAAATCTGAGAGACATCATGTGGTCATTTAACACTGAACTTTCACCTGAAGCAGATATTTACTTGGACAAATTTTTTTTCTACAGTAAGGGATTTTTATTTTAAGCATAATGAAATTATCCAGAAATAAAATGTATCAATTGGAGCAAAATAAAGTTGAATTTAACTTAATGACATGGACATTCCACTTCTTTCGCTTCACAGCTGGAAGTGGCTCTTTTGTTCAGTTCCGTTTTGTTCTCACTTCATATATCAAATAATAAACAGTTGTCCTGTTTTTTTTTTCTTTTTTTTTTTTTCTAGGTCCCCATCAAATAATATTGGTCCCATCTTGGTCCCCTTGGTGAATTTGTTCTAAAACCGTCACCGAGAACCTGGTTTTGTTTTACTTCCCTACAGACTCCCAATTCTTCATCCTTTAATTGTTTGACAGCATTGGCAGTATTATCAATGGTTATATGATTTTATTAACTCTCATCAACCTAACAATTTTTATATATTGTTGCTTCTTAAAACAAAGCATTAAAATGTAGTCCTTAAAATGATAACTATTCTAAATGTGTCCTCTGTCCTTTAAGCAAAGACAAGCTTATGTGAAAAGTAACGACCCTGTTCATATTTAAATACAATGTTTATTATATCCTCATCATAGCAATACACAAGTGTAAAGACACCACCCCACAAAAATCAGTGCAGTGTGATTAATCAGCCGTACGTTATCACATTCACATATAAAAACAAGTTTAAATGCATGCAATGGCTTTTCCTAAAAGTCGAAGATCCTTTGTGAGTTTGAACTTTCTGAGTAATGAAACATGGAAAATTGACCTGACTGCTCAACATTTCATTGAAAATAACT